GTGTAAGACATAAGAAACCACTGATCTAGATGCTTCTGTGTAAGACAAAAGAAATCACTGAAAAATGATTCATCGGTGAGACCGGGTGAAACCTCAACAGTCGCGGTCAGTGCCACAAATAACAGCAACCAAGTCTTTGTCAAACATAACATTTCGTTTCTGTCGTGTATATGGAAAATCTTGTCGATTACCGTGCAAATCTTGTCGGGAAAAGAACACGTGTTCGGCAGGGCACATCAACAAATCCATGGAAACCTGAAACGCATTGTCCTTGGGCCATTTTCGGCCCTGATCTGCCTGGTGTGGCTTACAAAGGTAGTTGCAGCTAAAGAAGTTTAACTACCCTCTAATAGTCTAACCAAACACATCCACTGCATATATATATAATTACACTATATGCGTTTCCAAGAGCACATTGCTTAGGATGGGATGCTTTTCAATCAAGCTCTCCTCAGGCAAGCATACAAGCGTCGAGTTGCTCGTTCACGGATCTTTCTTTTGCCTGATGGAAGTGCAAACAAAAGACAGGAAAACACGGCGGCCAAGTGACAGAAAGCTTTCTGTGTGCAACCAACACTTCTCAAAAATTGCTCAAACGCCGATGCTGGACATATGGTGGCACCGTTCTGCAGCTCTCTGGCAAAAGGCATGCCTGCGCAACGGTCTTGACCTTTTTCTTCTGGAGACGTTCACTCCTGACAGAATCTATCACAATCTTTTTCACATTCGTAAAGAATGGGATTGAAGTTTGAAGCTTCACAACCCGTTCTGTGTGCTGCTGAACGACTGTCACTAAGCACAGTTCACACATGAAAACATAAAGTAGGCTAGCGGCGACTAGGGCACAGGATTGAAATTTGCATCCGGTGCCTGCATCTACTTGGAATATCTCTCTCATTCTCTCTCGGGTTGACTTGCCTCCTTAGCTCTCCTTCTTCTCTTTTTTCTTTTTTTTTCTTCTTTGCTGCCTTCCTGCCAAGCTCCAGAAGAAACTCCAGGACGGCCAAATCTAGCACGCTTTGCAATGCACTTTTCAGGGACTCTTCATCAGGCTTTTTCAAGCAAAGCACATCTGCCACACAAAACCATAAATATCTGTGTGTAACGCGTAGGCAGCTGTAAACATGTGACATGTGTATAAATATGTAAATAGGTATATAAAGGATCGTAAGCAGCAGTTGCAACATTTCAAGAGAAGACAACGGGAACATGTAGTGTTCCATCGTGCTAGCAATCCTTCACGGCCAATAGTCTGAATCTGATGCCTCTCCAGCATCTCCCAGCGGTGCCGCCATGCCATCTCTTCCCCGACTTGCACGAAAGCTTTGAGCAATTCGGAGACGTCACCTGAGTCTGCAGCTTTGGGGTTTGCTGAAGTCCTGCAAAGGGGTGGCACAAGTTGCTTCCCAAGCACCGGCATCCGTGGTGAGCACTTCCACCGCGGACTCTGCATCCGCATCTGTTAGTGCTTCCTGAAGAATTGAAAAGGATATCACTTCCTTGTCGGCTTGGTGGAACAAACTGAATTGGTCCTGCAATTTTGAAACCCAAAAATTGTTAATTATGCTACCCACCATTCGGAATCCATTCAAAACATATTCGCAGTGTTCGAAGGACGGGCAGTATTGAGCGGTAGCGCATCAAAAAGGGTCCTGACCATTGACAATCACGCAGGATTTGCCCAGCGATGGAGACAAGTCCAAGTCATCCAGAACAACGCAGGCTTCCGTGGCCTGTGGGAGAATGACTCGGACAGGAGACATTGATTGGAGGCATCGCCGAGACATTGAATGAGGAAAACTCTTGCCTCATGAGCACGAAGCCAATCCACAATCTCCTGACAAACCGTGTAATGGCGCATGCGACAGAAACAGTCCACCTAGCTCACTTAGTTACTATGGCTTCTAAACGCAACTAGAGGATCCCAGTGTAGTCTACACGATGTGAACCAAACTTCATTGTTTTCGGTGAACCATCGGCAGAATCCCGAGACTGTGAAGAATGGCTTCAGCGATGGCTTTGATCACTGGAGGGCACACAGCATTGCCCAGCTGATGATACGCCCGGTTCTCACCTTCGATCAAGGCATGAGCGACAATTGCATAGCCGCGCATTCCGTGCAACTCTGTCGAATAGGAGTGCATACAAGATTCCTACACATTTGCAACACCCCAAGCTGAGAGGACATGCATGTACAGGACATGAACTGCATGAACATGGCTTCACAGCTCAGCCGAGGTGCTGTGCTCATTGCCCAGAAAACATTTGTCTGGGAAACCCATGAGCCGTGCGCACTCTCGGCGAGTGAAGAAGCGTGGCCTTTCGAGCTGAGGGTCGCTCACGAGCTCCGCGGTGCACGCGAAAGAGGCCTTGGCCATGTCCAACCACAGCGGTCTTTTGGCACTTCTCAAGCCGTTAAGTTTGGGCTTGTTTTCCCGAAAAAAGCTACAAGAACACTGTGCAATCATGAAAGTCATGAAAGCTACTGTAAATTCATATAAATTCATATTTGGAGGATGAAGACTCTGTTCCGCTTCAAGCGATGCACAGTTAGACAACTAACATGCTAAGGACCCTGAGGCCAAAGGTCTTGGAATGGGCTGTATGCTGCTGCAAACTACCAAGAAGAAGGCATACTTAGGGGAGCACCATGGAACACCTGTTGCCGGAAAGTGTCCTCATGGACCACGCAAGTTGTCTTTTTGCCGCCGTGCCTTGTAACTGGATGTCAAGGTCCGAGCCTTACCCTCCAGCTGTGCGAACCGCAAGGGTGCCCCACCAGAGAGCCAAGTAGAACTCTTCCTGGGAAGCCAAAAGACGGAATTTGATAGAACAAATCTGAATATATAATAGAGAGAGCAAGAAAAGAAGGGATGGGCCCCCTTTAACAAGGCCGCTTCAATGTCAGACGCACATTATTGCGTTTTGTCAGCTTTCGCCTGTCCCGTTTCCCCCTCTGCAAAAAAGTCCGACGGTGAATGCAGTAAGCATTCCCACAAATCGCACACAAAAAGGACATCAACTCATCCAATATCCACCTGCCCTGAGTTCTGCACTGCACAGCACGCCACTGTGCTTCAGTGAGTTCACAACATTGAGCCATCTCAGCAGATTCCAAGACTTCCTGCCGCACATGTCTCTTGACCAATCAACTGCATCCCACAGCATACGGATCTGTGCCGATGCCCTACTGTACTCAGTGGCCTCAAGGGAGCGGCCATTTGCAGGTGGTTCTGGCCATTGAAAGTCCTTTGCCAACGGAAGACCTCGTCTGAATCCCACGAAGTACAGCCTGCTGGAGCAGCTTGGGATTTGTCTGCAAGCGAGAGAGGGGCAGCATCTTCATTTTGGCAATGCGACCTGTTTCGTAGCAGTTCCCCAAGTCTTCTACAGGCAAGCGCGCATCTTGGAGGTTCCTTTTCTATCCTTTCTTTGGTCCAACGAGTGTCATTCCATTCCCATTAAGGAAGGAAAGCTAGGCGTTGGTCTATACTCTGTGAGACGTGAAAGATCAAGCCAACTGGACACTTGAAAGTCGATGTCCTCCGAAATAAACCAGAGGACTCAACTGCGAAGCACCTGGGGGAAAAAGCTTGATTCTCAGGACATCTCAAAAAAACATCTCAGTACTTAACGATCTCATGTTAATAGTCGGGCCAAATGCCAGGATCACGCTTTATGCCATGGTGACTAACACCAAAGCGTTCGATTGAAGGACGCCAGCCAATTTCATGAGATGTGATCACAGGACGGCCGTATCGCTGCTGTGGTGTGTCAGTCAAGCGAGACAACAAGGCTTGTGATCTATCCAGTTTGGTCCTTGACAAGGCAGCCTTTGGTCCTGTTGTCAGAGAAGGCAAAGAAGGAGCAGACGCTGAAGAACCCAACTTGCTGTCGCGGGAAAGTCTCCTCTCTCCTTTGAGAAATCCCCATTGACATTCCCAATTCGCGGCGGTCTTTAGCTCTGTCTCGATCAGCTGCTTCCATATTTCCATTTCATGGCTTCCATTCTTGGCCTTCCCTTCTGCCATAGCGTGGCTTTGGCGAATCAGCGTGCCCTCGGAAGCTCGAGCCAAAATGTGTTGAGCGACTCACCTGCTGGGCAATAGCAGAATCATACGTCATTGGTGGATACATGCAACACGGGATTTCCAATGAAGTTGATACACGATGAGAGACTATGGATCTGATGCAACGCGTGTGTCTGCGCCCATTGCGGCCTTTCTCGCTTCTGAGGAACCCATCCATCGGAGTTTATTTGCTTTGATTGAACCTCGTAGCCGACGTCCTGCGGCGCTTGCAATGTGCGGAGGCTGTACAACAATTGCATCCAGCAGGAAAGCCTGACCAATTGACAAAATATGTCCAAAAAAACACATATTTCAGAGAGTCTTGACTCAACCCTCCCACAAAGGACACACCTCTGAAAATATGTATTTTTTTGGGGGGGCGGGTATTTGTTCACAGTCCGCAGGGTCCAAAATTTTCAACAGAGTGCTCTCCTGAGTCAACATTTGTCAAGAAAACTGCACTGCCAGGAGGGCACTCTGTTAACATTTGTCAAGAAAACTACTCTGCGAGGAGGGCACTCTGTTGACATTGTCAAGAAAACTACACTGCCAGGAGTGCACTCTGCAGAAGATTCTGCACTTTGTAGACAACTCTTGAAGAAAAAGCTAAAACACACCAAAAAAGACATGTTTTCAGAAGTTTGTCCTCTGTGGGAGGGTTCAGTCAAGACTCTCATAAATATGTGTTGTTGTGTTGTCTCAAGGTGTTTTTAGTTTTGCCCCGTGGCGGCCCCTTCTGGTGAGCGTAAAAGGAGTGATTTTTGAAGCGGCAGCCCGCCCTCCATATCTAACATTGCACATAAATATACGTTTCACACAGTTAATGAGAACACACATATCTGGGAAATCTACTTTCCCAAACATCCAAAGGAAAGCTACTTAAAATGAACGCTTTCAAACAAAGCTTTTACACAGCTTTTCACTAAAGAAGTGGTCAGTCCCAGAGATCTAGAGGTAAGTTTTTGACAAACACTTCTATATTGTTATATAGAGTTTTTTACATATGAACATATTTATTACCAAATATATTTTCTTTTGAAATAAACAGCTTCTATATATATAGTATCTTTAAACAAATGATCATTCCCAAAAATCTAGGGACGGCTTTTGAAATGCACGCCTTTATATTAGGGTTTAATATAGAAGTGATCAATACCAGAAATCTAGGGGAAAGCTTTTGGAATACAACTTACAATATATAAGGCGTTTAAAATAGCAAAATTACTATTTTCAGAAATCAAAAGGTAAGTTTTAACGTAATTGCTTATATACATGGCTTTTTGAATATGGAAATAAGTACCTTAGAGATTTGAAGGAACGCTTTTGAACAAACAGGCTTTCAAATGTAGTTTTTAGTATGAAAATGACAATTTCCAGAGATCAAGAGGAACGCTCTTGAATCAGAAGCTTTTACAGTATTTATTTTGTTATAGAAGTGATCATTCCTAGAGATCTAGGGGGAAACTTTTGACATAGAAGCTCTTATATAAAGCCTTCTTAACATAGAAATGCTTATTCCCAGAGATTTTTTGAACAAACCTGTCTGTCTACTCAAAAGCAGTGTTTTGACCTAGTTCCCAGCACTCCCAGTGCAAGAAAACACTGTAAAACACATGATTTTGTAGCGTTTTGTTTTGCCTTACTCACACCTCCAGCAACACCTGCTCTCTGGAATTAAATTAAACTTGAACAATCCGCCGGCCTGCCGGCGTGTTTTGTGGATTGTTTTGGTTAGTATTGCTTGTGTTGGTTTCAATCTACGGTTTGTATCTCCGCGCGGATTTTTCGACAGCCTGACGCCCCCCACCCCCCCCCCTCTCTACGTCTAAGGTGATTGGACTGAGACATGTCGATCGCTGGATCAGAATAGACAACCATTGGACTGAGACATGTCGATCGCTGGATCAGAATAGACAACCTCTGATTCGGATTCGTTCCATTTCATTGTAAAACAACTTCGCTTGAAATCAACATCAACAAACTCTCCCAGCAAAATGCGCAACTCCAATGCACCCACAAGTCTGATTGAGCAGGGTATTGTTGTTCGATGTCATTCTGGGTCTTTCATTTCCAACGGTTTGGAGAAAAAAAACGACAAATCATGCCAGATCTAGAAATTCTTCGGTCGCTTTGAAGCCTTCTGTGTGAAAAAGAATAACTGGTGCGTGTCGCAATCCCTCCAGACGGTCGGAAAAAAGATCTGAAAAGGAAAGCATGCAAACGGCCAAGTAGTTTGGAAGAAGAATCGTTTTCAAGGTCATGTTTTGTGGATAGTCTTGGTTCGCATTGCTTGTGTTGGTTTCAATTGGTTCCTCTTAGGTGATTCGACTGAGACATGCCGGTTCGGATCGCTGGATCAGAATAGACAACCTCTGATTCGGATTCGTTCCATTTCATGGTCAAACAACCTTGAAATAAACATCAACAAACTCACCCAGCCAAATGTGCAACTCCAATGCACCAACAAGTATGATTGAGCAGGGTATTGTTGTTCGATGTCATTCTGGGTCTTTCATTTCGAACGGTTTGGAGAAAAAGCCACAAATCATGCCAGATCTAGAGATTCTTCGGTCGCTTTGAAGCCTCCTGTATGTGAAAAAGAATATCTTGTGCGACTCGCAATTCCTCAAGACGGTCGAAAAAAAAGAGCTGACAAGGAAAACATGCACAAGGCCAAGTAGTTTGGAAGAAGACTCATTTTCAAGTACCGGTTTTGTGGATTGTCTTGCTTCGTCTGGCTTGTGTTGGTTTCCATTGGTTTCAATCTACGGTTGGTTTCAATCTACGGTTTGTTTCTCCGCGCGGATCTTTCGACAGCCTGCCCTGCCCCGGTTGGTTTCAATCTACGGTTTGCATCATTAGGCTGCCTGCCAATGCGGGCTCGAGCTGGTGGCCGGCGGCATGCCGAAGGCTGTAAATAATTACGTTAGAATTGAACGAATTAACTTAGGTTTGACATGGAATCATATAAATTACGATTGAATTAGGGATATGTATAAGTTGTTATGAATAATCCATTTGACATAGCAAATGCACCAAAAAGCGCACTGCCACAACTGCCTGCTCTCTCCCTCTCTCTCTCTATATAATTGGAACGCACTTACATTGAAACATCCAATATCATCTATCATGTCGCTTTTCCACATGAGCGTCACGACAGACGTGGCACCTCAACATACTCCGCACGCCTCATCCAGCTCTAAGGGACCGACAATTGGCCAGCAACCAAACGAGCCAAAGTCCTCCAAGCATGATATCACCTTCTTGTAGACTTCCCCGAAAACGCACTTCTGCGGGTCTGCGTCCCAATGGCCGCCATCCAGGAACTGCATATTCCAGACCTTGTGAACCAAAGAGCCAACCCCCCGAACCACAGAAGCTTGGAAGCTATCGGGTCATGGTTAAGAATGGCCAAGATGCATTCTCCAGCAGAAAGGCTTTAGGTTTGCAAGAGTGCAAAATCCTCAGCACTTCAAAGAACAGCTCCCCACGAGCATCCTCAAAGCCCAAACGCTCGCCACGACCTGAGAATTGTGGGCGGTATTTGTGCACTTTGATCTTGGACATGCACACAGAGAGTGTCGTGGACGCGGAGAGCTAAATATATCTATCTAAATATTATGACACACTTGATATGATTCACACTACGGTATTTGTCAAGTTCTACATATTACACACTGGAATTGTACACACCTCAGAGCTCTTGGTTCGATTCCCCCAGTGTTTGTTCAATGAAGGGGTTTCTGACTCAACAAGTCCACAGGAATTACGCCAAGAGTCCGCTGAGTCATAACAGGTGTCTACAACTGGTCTCCAAACCAAACTTCCCCTTCTCAGTGAACTTGCGAGGTACGGGTGAAGGGTTGACATGGGAAACCAGCAGTGAGGAGCTCGTGTGATGGGACAACCTTCGCATCGACAGCTGTGATGTCACCGTAGAGATCTTCGGACCCAAAGTTCGCTGCATAGGCGTCCTGACACGTCGCAAACTCAAGTGAAAGGTTAGTAGCATTCTTGCTACTAGTAGCGTCCTTTGCTCCTAGTAGCGATGCCAGGAGCCCCTAGTAGCTTCTTGTTCCTAGTAGCGATGCCCTTTGCTCCTACGTAGTAGCAAGACGCAGCTGCACTTCGTTGCATGAGTTTCACTAGCTTGAAGTCTTGCTGGCTCCGGAGTTGTGGAAGAAGGACAACTAACAAGTGGAAACTGTGGATGGGCAATGGGAAATCCGTGTCAAGAGTGCAGCACGCTCTTCACTTCATCATCTGATGAAATCTGCAACCTGTGTATTTCAACATTTGACTCTTCAGGGAGAAACTGGAGCCTGGCAGTCCACATCGATCTCAGAGGCGAACACGCATTGGCCCCCAAGAGCCTATGCAGGCTTTGAATGTCCAAACATGGCATGCGAAAGCCAATGCCGAATGACTGTGATAACCGTGATGAGGTCTGACGAACAAAACCGTCTTTTGTAAATCTGCTTCTGCTCAGGGCGGCTTAAGTGCACCCTGATCAAGTCCATGTGAAACAGGATCAGGCGCGTGAGTTTCATCGCTTCCCCTTCTTTTTGCCTCCTCTGCCCTTTCCTCCTTGTTTGCTGCGGCGCTTATTTTGCGCCTTCGACCGAGCATCGTTCCTCCTCTCCTGAGTCACACCCACCTGAGCAGCTTTGTGCTTGTCCACTGGCCCATCACCAGATAAGACTCGGCCAACCGTTTTCAGGTAGTTGTCCTTCTCCACACCGCCGCTAACAGGTGCTACTCCTTTCTTCCGTTTTGGCTGAAGATTCGTGGCCTCGTTGGGGGCCACCCGGTCAAATTTGCCGAAGGAAGCAGAAGAGACCTGGGCTCGTTTGATCGCTTCTTTCAACCCGTCCTTTCCTCGCTTCTGTGTGTTGGACAAGTCAGGCACACTGGCCCGAAGCTTTCCTCCAGCAGCTTCGACTTTATTCCTCACTTCTCGCATCCTCTGCCGGGCTTGTAGGAGCCGCTTCTCGGCTGTCTCCTTGTCGAAGGGGTTCTGGTTTGGATCATCCCGATCACCGACCTCCTGGACCCAATTAGCCCTTTCCTGAGACTTTTTAATGCTGTTGTAGCCCCAGCGAGGTTTCCAGTCCCCTTCTATGTCATCCCAAACAAGCCGACTCCTCTTCTTCTTCTTCATATTTCTTTCTTCCATGAACTTCTGCCATCTCGTCTTTGGCTTCTCTTTTGGAATCGGCTTTGCGCGAGGCAGTCTGAAAACACCCTCTGCCGGAAGGGACACCAAAGTCCCTTCCTCACCTTTGTGCCTGGGGAGAGCAAAGATCTTGTTTACCAGCAGCTGGACCGAGTCTCTCGCATAAGCCATCAAGTCCGTTCCATTGGGAACCGGGGAGATGTCATACGCTGCCATGTTCTTGAGGTCATAAATCAAGTTGTCTTCGCGGGATGCTGTCGCCGGACGGGAGACTGAGGAGACTTCATTTTTCTCGCTCATGGATGAGCAAGATCAGCTATTCAGCCCTACTCTCAAAGTGAAGGGCCTGTCTGCGACTTGAACCACGAGTTGCGGGTTGGGCTTGCCCGGCTCGCCTTCTATTCTAACACTCTCAACCAAGGTTTCTCGCAAAGCCACAGAAACCTCATGTGTCGTTTCTCTCTCTCAGCTTTCACGCGCCTCCAAGGCCCATCTGAAGCCACCAATCCCAGCGAAGAGCTCCACAAAAGCAAAGCATGAGGAGTTTGAGGCTAAGGCCTTCTCCTCAGCTGCCAGTGGGATGTTGGTGCATAATCCTGCATGCAGCATGTTAAATCTCTTCGAATTGACCTGGAGTGAAGCAGTACAAATAATAATTTGAACAGGGTACCGCTATCTTGCATCACCGTCCCATGTATCCGTTTCTCCAAGTGATCGCACACCACTGCCAAAGGTATGCGCAGCGGCAGTTGTGGTCGAACCTTTACATCTGGTATCATCTGTTGGTGCTTCGCCTAAGGGTTTAAGATGGTTTAAGGTGGTTTAAGAAGGCATTGTGGCACCTGGTTCATCTCAGTCAAGTGGCAGCGCTGCGAGCTGGCCCTCGGCACCGCTGGGCACCAAGGCGTAAGCCTTGCACCACGTATCGCCGAAACAGCACGGGAATCACCAATGGCATGTTTAGCCCACAAACATCAATCCGGATCCAGCTTGGACAACTTTGCTCACCTGTATGCAGCATTCCCTTACAACAGTCATGAGCACCTGAAACTAGCGAACACTGATAAATTCAAATCAGCACAGCTGGGGCAAGTCCACCCTGTGTGGCCTGGGAGAAATTCCACGGAGCCTTCCCTCAGAAGCTTGTTGATGGCTTCTGGAGCTTGTCCAAAGCACAGGAGGGTGGCACCCTCAATGGTCAAATGCACTGCTTTCCGGCCATTGTAATCCTTGAAAGCAGGAAAGCAGCAATCTAGAATCCTCACAATCATTCAAAATCTCTGAGTTGCCGTGCAAACATGTGGTACATACGCATAGGCAACTTCTGCAAACACACCCACAAACCATTCTCCCCCGCCTGCTTGTGCTGTCTCTAAATTGAGTTAAAGTCTAATTATTCTATAATCAAAAGTGCATCCTATTGTTCTCTTACTTTTTTCATCATTCTCCTACGGTTCCACACAAAAAGGATGCCTTTCTGCCCTTCGGATAAACGTGTGACAGGTCTTTGGACATGAACAAAGACTCAACACTCTATGTTATTCACCGTGCAACCGATTATCAATGCAGTGTCAAGTATCCTTCACAGCCTTTGGCCGTGCCAAGTTGGGCTTTTCAGCGGCTAAAGCCTTCAACACCTCCTGCAGCCGCGGGATGTCACAAAGCAAAGCGCCAACTGGACATCCATTTCCTGAAAGCTCAGAAAGGATCGGAATTTGAATGACAAAGCACGGATCCCACCTGTGTCTCACGTTTTTCTTCTCTCTCTCTCTCTCTCGCTATTGCTAATTTATACCCATCTTGCCAGTATAGAGGTTTTGAGAACGTACAAGCTCAGAAAACATCCCTGCAAAGCTACTCCAAAGAGTTGCACTGTGGAGCTAGGCCATTGCAGGATTATCCAGCCGAATTCAGCCTCATTACAGTTTTATGATGTTGAAAAAACATCAACATATCGCCCTATTTCCCAACTCTACATGACTCATAAGCCATAGGTTCGTGGCAGCCAAAGCGGGCCGTCGACATCGCTTATCGATGTGTCTCTTCGTGGCTTTTTGCAATGTGAGCCACCAAATGGGTGGTTCTGATCCATGGAGCAGCACAAAGCCGCTAAGCACGCCAAACCGCTTGTGAAATGCCACCACCCACCGAGGGGGGGGGCCAAATTGGAAGAGAAACAAACAACATGTCTCCCATTTCTGAAACGGCCAAAAACCTCATGATCTGCGGCTACATGTTCATCAGCCCAAAAAATGTCAAATAACGAATAATAACGAGCTGAAGGGGTTACAGCAGGGGTGGAGTGACAACACTTGCCCTCGGGCGGCACACTATACATGGAAACGCCCTCTGGCCACAAGGGCTTCACTGCATCGTCTCAATGTTTCAGCCTTTTGAACCGAAAGTGCCACCTGCGTCGTCTCAAGAAGAATGCCCAAAGTTCTCATGCTTGGCAGACTGCCCAACTGCCCTTGCAAGGTGTTACTATATGTTATATGTATATGTCATGTAGAGCCCTGACTGCAAATTGAACACCAAAGTATCTAAAGGCACACTTGCCAGTTGCTCGGTGCACTTGCACTCCAGAAAGTACAACCAATTCAGTTGGATCAAGTGATTGGATGTGATTGGCTGCCCAAGAAGTCACATCCCTGCAAAGCAAGAAGATCAACAAATATGTGGGGCATCTGTTGTTCCACGAGCCTTTCTGTTTCTGTTGGATGTTTGACAATGTTTGACGATTATCATAGCGTGTAGCAAGAACATTGCAAAACAGTCATGGTAAACGCTCTGATTCCTGACACCGGCTCCTGTGCTCGAGCTGATGGTCCCATAGAAGCATCAGTTGCTGTGGAGTCCAGGACGGAAAGGCCGACTGAGGCGAGGTGCCTTTCGACTTCCTCACTGCAGAGGGGAGATGTGTCAAGTCAAACATGCACAATGCTTGCTTGCTTGCTTGCTTGCTTGCTTCAGCGTTTCTTGGTATGGAGGGCATGTTTGGGGTTCGTCAGTGAGGACGCTCCCCAAAGCTACAGCCATATCATGCCATATCAATAATTACCATACACACTTCGTTGCACATGGTGTCCAAGTAAACCAAAGCCTTTGTGCTTTTATTTGTAATAATTTCACTTAGGTTCACAATGGTATACCATACATGGTATAATGATTTACCTTTGTTCCGCGGGCACAACGTCATGCAGCACGTGAAGGTCTGATCCGTCGATTCGTTTTGAATCACAGTTTGCTCCGGTCCGACTGTTCCAAAAACATTGACACACACACAAATGCACAAGAAACAACTATTTCAAAATCACAGAAGAGATAGAAAAAGAACACAGGCATTGGCTCTGGTCAAAAGCAAGGTTCAGCCAAGGAATCCTTGTCCAACCGCCACGAGGAGGAGAGAACGATCCTGCCAGTGGCCCACAAGCTTTCCGAGAAACAAATTCCAGTGCCATTGGGAAGACCAATCAAAGTCCAAGGCCTGGAGCTCAAAGAACTAGACAAATAGAAGCAAATAGATTAACATAGATTAACCAATTGGGGCTTCGAACACCGAACTATGCCGGCAAAGCAACGCTGCATGGCCATGGTTGGCAACCCAAGCCAAACGCTCCAAACAAGGTCGGCGAAATAGGTCCTCAAGCCAAAGGTAGAGTGCAAACAAAAGGCTGGAGACGACAAAGAGAACAACATAGACATGAAGGGACCTTGGTAACCCCCGACCCTTTTCAGCTCGCTCTTCCTGACCGTTCTCCTCGTCTTCAAGAGCATTACCTCCTGGAGCATCTGCTGGGTGGAGGACCTCATCACGTGTCAGCTCTGAGAAGTGCAAGCAAACAAATGGGATCTCACTGATCTCACTCATGAAATTCACCATTAATTAGACACAATTTCACGCTTTGAGCCATGTCTAAGACAAGCGCCCCATCGACATCCAGAAAAATGACTCGAGGGGCTATCGCCATTGCTCATCAGGCTACCAGCCATGCTAGCACTACATCTATTGGAGACTCTTGACAAGAATCCAGTAAATTGTGCTACACGACCGCTGCGATCGGTAAACCAAACCATAACCATAACCGCCTCATATCACATTAAGAACGCTAAAGTACTTGTTTTGACACATTTCAAGCTTTTCTTCTGCAAGGCTAGCTCGACAGGATGCTTGAGCAAAATGCCACAGTCTGCCAAGAAAGGAGAATGGCTTCTTTTCGGGTACTACGTGAGCAACTCGATGTCAAGATTCACGATTTTCCAATTCAAGATTCATGCCAAGTATCTGTCCATCTTCAGCTTCCAAAATGGCTGCCTGGAACAAATGAATGATGGTCTAATATTGGGCTGGGGACTTCGGAGTGTTGGTGTGCTGTCATTGTTCTGGCACATTTGTAGGCATTGCCCATTTCAGGAAAACTGTGCCATCAAAATCCAACGTCCGCTTCATTGCTACTTATCACTACGGTAGATTCTCATCTTGCTCAAATATGATATAATATAATTCTTCCCGTGCATGCAAAACACACGCTTGGCTCAAAACTAATGAGACAATGAGAGTGAACTGCTGCAACTCAACATTGACAATCATGAGTGCAATCCCTGTTTGCTAGGGCTGCCAACGAGACGAGAAATGGGGAAATGCGCACCGATGAAGCAGAATCTCAGGCCACCTGTGCTGGCTGTCACACTATCAGCCAGCTCTTGGTGCGTTTTGCTGTGTATCCAAAAACGCAAGGAGAGAGTGTTCCATCTGATTACTGTATCGCAAATCGTGTGCTGGCTAGGGTGTAATCATAATTCCCCCTCCATCAGCAACAAGGGGCCTGGAGCCAAGAGACTCCGACCCAGGAAGGACTTCTTTGGGTTTGGCACGCGGAGCCCTGCCACGGTGAGATCCTAAGCTAGTGCAGGGGAGTTGAGGATGGCACTTCTCCCAGCGAGGTTTGCAACATACAGCAATACTCAGCCCTGCTCAGGTCATTCCATGACCAGAAACCCCAATCATATACATGCACATGTGAGGTGCTATGACTCATGAAAAGAGTCTCGAAATGACACCAGGGTGAAGCCAAGCGTCCGTCAAAAGCCCGAAGGTTCCATTGGAATCTTCTTGAAACCTCGGTGTGCCAAGCTTTTTGGCCAAAAACATGGAGATAAATCGCGCACCACGTCCTCAAAGCCCGGACCGGCCGTATCTCTCTCAGCCTGGGTGCCGGACCGGCCTCGATGGTATGCCAACAGTGTTTGCATATCACCCGTGTGTCGGGCTGCCAAATCTTCTAACAGCACTTTGACCTGCATGGGAGAATGTTCAAGATCCGTTGGCAAGCAGCTAGAATCCGCAAATAATCGCAAATATTTCAAAGGCAAAATATGGCAAACCAGCTTTTGCCCTTTCAAAGCTTGTCTTGACAGAACGACACTTCCTCAAGTTGTCGCGTCATTCATGAACATGCCGCGATGCAAGACGCTGCCTTGTTTCCCATCCCTCTCACTTCTGCAACCGCACTCTGCAACTTCAGCATGTAGTGCGGCAGCAAAGGCTCCAATTGATTGTGAAGCTGAGTCGGGTCCATACAGCTTTCCTCAGCGCCACTCACTGAACTTGTTTGGGACCAGTGTGATTTTTTTTTGGGGTGGTATCGAACTTTGTGCGCTGCAGTCCGGTTGGGAAAAGTGCAACCTAGTGACCTAGTGAACAGTGTACGGCCTACACATTAAAGCGGGTAAGTGAAGGGTTGGGCCCAGCGCCGAGCAGGACTCCTCTGAGGTTGCAAAACTTCTACAATCTTCTACAGTAAACCATCTGAATTGCAGAAGAATATCCGGGAATGAAACGAAGATCATGTCGGGCTCAGCATCATCCTGTAGGCTGGAGGAAGGCAACAACTCGGGCACTTCTTCAAAGGTGTAACAGCCCTTGCCACACAACATTTAGGAATCACAGCAAAAAATGCACAGCCCGTTATTGGGTTGGAGGCCATTGCTACTAGGGTGGAAGCCATCGCTGCTAGTGAAGAGGCCATGGCTACAAGTGTGGAGGCCATCGCTGCTAGGGTGGAGGCCATTGCTAGTAGGGCGCTACTAGGGTGGAGGCCATCGATATTAGGGTAGAGGCCATTGCTACTATGGAGGCCATCGCTACAAGTGTGGTGGCCATCGCTACTGGGGTGGAGGCCATCGCTATTGGGGTAGAGGCCATCGCTACTAGGGTGGAGGCCATCGCAACTATGGAGGCCATCGCTGTTAGGGTAAAGGCCCATCGCTAGTAGGGTGGAGGCCATTGCTATTAGGGTAGAGGCCATCTCTACTAGGGTGGAGGCCATTGCTATTTTGTTAAAAGGCCTACTTGGTGGTGGTGGACCTGCACAGTCCGGTCCGCCCACCGCAATTGTCTGTGCCTGTGCCGCAGTAAGGGTAGTTAGCAAGTCTTCTCCTCGGAGTCCTCAAAATCGGGGTTGACAATTTGCACTGCGCTTGGGGCGATCACTTCCAATGCCACATTGTTGATCTAAACACAACGGCACATTAAAGACGAAATAACGACATGACTTTAAATGTCTTTAAGTCCAATTTGACATAAACAAGGCTACGCCGCCGTTAGCGGCTATGGGGAATTTGCACATTGCAGTGGAGTCGGCTACCGCAAGAAAACCAACTCATTGAGCAGGTAATCCCACGGCACTCCACTCAGTTGACGCAACGTCAGCAGCAACAAGAAGAACTCTCGGAACTCAAAGCTCACTGGGACCCAGAACCCGATCCCCCAAAGGCACCCTCAAGTGAAGCTCACTGGGACCCCGAAAGCCTACCCAAAGGTCCCTGATCCGAAAGTGAAGCAACCTGGCAACCCGAAGCCCCCCCAAAGGCACCCTCAAGTGAAGCACTGTGACCTCCCAAACCCACCTGAATCCCAAAAAGCATCAATAATAGCAAATGTCTCAGTGCTGCTAACGGCGGCGTAGCCAACCAGCAAAAAGCTGTGGAGCCACGACCGGTCATGTCTCTGGAAACGGTCTTCTCCTTGGATTTGCTCCACGGTCTGCAAGTCTAGGCCTGGCATCGTCGGTGGAATCCCCTTTAAGGCATGATGCCTGTGGTCTAAGGCAGCCGCTGTTGGCCAAATTGAAGGTGAAAAAGCGAAAGCGATAGTCCTGACCTTGGCCAACTTGGCATCCACTTGGCTTTTGATCTTTCATCACCGGAAGAGAAACAACTGCGAAGCTTCTGCTCTTGTTGAAGAAATATTTATTATTATTCTTCGGAGGGAAACCCCCTCCATGCGGTCCAGGCTGCAAGGTACTGCTGCGGTGCTGCAAAAGTCTTCCAGTGCCATCGTCATAGCGACACATAGCTAAATAGCTAAGGCTAGATAGACGAGATGTTTATAACAGGTGATTGTTGGGATCTCAACATTCCCTCCCAAACCTTTGAAAAGAACACTGGACACCAAAACCACACTGAACAGGCCAAAAGATCGACTGCAAAGCCATTTTGTATCTTGACCTTGCCTTTCTCTTTCTAGCATGTTCTTTTCAGGATCTGAGACTACGAGGATAAGTCGTCGTCCGCAAGGAGAATTGCTTGATCATAGTGGGTGCTCCTTCCAACTAGCGCTGTTCGTGTGTGTCTTCTGGCCCTGGTGGTCAGTGAATCAAACTGTTGCTGTTGTTGCTGCTGCTCCGGTGGTGCTGTTGTTGTTGTTGTTTGGTGATATGTAGATTGCAGCGAACGCAGCATCAACTCCAGTACTCACAAAGAAAGCAGCGGGGAGCATTGCACACGTCTCCCATGAACTTGGCGATTTGTTCAAAGCTGTCAAGGCTTTATGCATCATGAGGTCTTACATTCAACACATTCAAGTGAGGCACAGCCCAATGGTCCTGCGCACAAAAAGTATATATCCATAGAACCTCTCAACAACTTTTCACTGTGACACATCGTGAATACCCTGGAATTCAGCTTTAATTTAAAGCTTCCGCCCTGTCAGGTGTCATTGGCACATCACAGCCAGCCTCGTATCCAAGGCGACTTACTGAGACACCTTCTTCCTGTGCCAGTTGTGCAAAGTCCAACACCCGTGCCAAATGCTTACATCGAAAAAGACCATCCCCCAAAATGAACAGTGCATAGGGCATAGGGAGCAGGCAGGTGTAACTTCAACTTAGTATTCCACCAGCTTCCTAAATTCAACAACATACTTCAAAGCCTCCTGGACTTGTAGCCTCCAAAGCTTGACTCCCAGCAGCAACTGACAATTTTGCCTGTATGTTCAATCATGTTCAATCCATTCATGCATTCATCATTCACCTCTGATCATCTTGATCTAACTGTTCTGTTTAGAATGGCGTGAGAGCAGTGAGAGCTGCAAGCCCTCCGGAAGGTACGGAAAGCAGCGGCTCACCGAGCTGTTCCCCGAGCTTCTGGCTTAAGACTGCCACCTCTGCTTGGTAGCCCGCCGCCTCAATCTCCACCTCCTCATGGCGAAGCCGCAAAGCCTCACTTGTTGAGACCTGGAGCTGCTCTGTGAGCTCCTGGAAGTTTTGTAAGCTTTCTTCCAAGAGACTTCGTTTCTCTTCCAGCAAGCGCTTCAAAAGATCTACTTCACTATAGTCGTATGGCTTTCCGAATTTCTCCTTCTCGTACTTCTCATATCTCTCATCACGAGGAGGAGTATACTGAGTATAGTGAGTAGCCTTGAAGGGAACTAAGGCTTCTCTTTCTCGGAAGGTTTCCGGGAAAGCATCCTTGTGATACCATTGTCTGGAATCATCGGAGATTGGTGCCAAAGGTGGCCAATAGCCAGTTGCATCCAAGCGCTCTGGCAAGGCAAGCTCATGGCTTGGCTTCTCATGGCTTCCGTCCGAAGCAGAAGCGGCAGAAGCCAAACTTTGTGCTCCGAGTCCATCCAGTCCGAAGGGCAACTCATCAACATTGTCCTGAAACAAAGGCACCGTGACCTTCCTCTTCCCACCGTGCCCTGGCTCGTTGATGGTCATTGTAAGCAAATTTCCACCAGACTGAAGCCATGGAGCTCGTCCAAGCGCGAGATGGGCCGAAGATGTGGCAGGTGTTGGCCGAGAGACTGCGCAGGGATTTGGCAGAGTAAGTGAAACGGCATCGGCCGTGGCCGGACCCATCTCACCCACCTCATTGATGGCAGCCACGCGGCACAGGTAACGTCCAATTGAAGGATCGAGATCTTCGGTGTGGATCTCTGCCCGTTGAACTCCACTCGGGTTGTGTTTCACGTGCCCAACTTCAAGCCATTCGTCTGGAGACGCATCAGTTGCAGAGAAGGGTCTAACCCACACGCGGTAGGCAACTAAGTTGGCACCGCCATCATACATTGGGGCGTCCCATTCAACGGCTAGGACAGGTCCATTGCAGCCGGCCAATCGTGGTTGTCCACATCCAGCCGGCGCACATGGCCCAGTTTTCACTTCAACCTCTTCTGGCTCGCTCAAGCCCACTTCATTAACAGCACAAACGCGGAATAGATACATTGTGTCTGGCTTCAAGTTTGGGACCACAAAGCGCAAGGGGCCCGCCTGACGTGGCTCCACGTCACCTTCATGTTGCCAGCTGGCCCTGGAAGGAGACATAGATCCCGAAGAACCCTTCCTCCCCAAGCAGCGAGAGTCTACGCGGTAACCTAAGATGGGGACCACGCGATCCTCAGCAGCAGTACCTGGTGGTAGCCAGGTGAGGTTCACCTCATTTTGGTTCGGATTAATGGCATTCGGGTTCAGCCGGGCAGTCAAATCTTTCACTGATGAGGGGATCCCAGCGAAGGCAAACTCACAGGTTAGGAAAACCCCGATGTCATTACCAGCAGCGTCAATCATCGGCCAGGTACAAGCCCTTCTGTGGTACTTGGCCTCGATGGGCACAAAGGCACGAGCGAAAAGCTCAGCTTGTACTGTCCCAAAGAGCCGCGTGGGAAGCACCCAAGCATCGACTCGGAAATACTTTGGGCCACCTGAACAGCGTGAGAAGCCGGGAAAAGCCCTCGTTTGGTTTTGTCAAACAAGCTTAGAGCAGTTATATAGTATATATATATATATTTATATATATCATATATATATACTGTATACAGTCTGGCCAGACTTCATCGTTCTCATCCCAGCATATCCACTTTTTATCTCACAAGTGCGTCGCTACTAGTGACAAGTGCATATCAAATGGATTCACACTTTTTGTGCCTGACCTGCTGCTGGGCCCGGCCCTGCGTCGGTCAAACGCACCGCCACCCGCGACTTGAAGCGGCATTCCAGGTCCCCAGCACGGCTGTCCCCGTCCATTGCCTGCAACCAAAAGCCAGGCGCTGTTGCGACATGTTTTCCACACAGCCCGACAACAACAGTTTCTTGTTGAAAATGCCGTTAAAACCCACTATTAGAAACAAGTGCCACGCTAGTAGTAACAGATGCCTTACTAGTAGTAACAAGAAGCTAGTAGAAACAAGTGCCACGCTAGTAGCAACAACAACGGCACAACATTCTCTAGACTCTAGACGATCATAAACCACCCATTGACGGCTCTCAGGCCCTAGGAGCCATTACAAACAAACTCCAAGGGCGCTCTGCCGCTATCTGCCGCTATCCAGAACCTGTTGAAACACCCTTCAAGCCCCTCAGTTCCTTGGATTTAGTGTTGCACACACATCCCAAAAAAAGTAAAGAGAACCCATCCAAGGCAACGTTTTAATTAACAGCTAGGAGGGCTGCACACTGCATCCACTACTGTATGGGACAGTGGAAGCAACAGCCTTCACGGCCATGGCAATCTGCTCTCTGAGATGAGCTTCCTCGGGTGGTACAGCTTGTGGTGGTCCTGCAGGTATTAATGGTGTAGAATAAATCCCAGGGCGTGCTGGGGGATCACTGCGAGCGTCTTCCCCCACATGAAGACTGAGTTGGTACTGAGAAGCTTGTAGCCAACCGGAAGGTAGTCTTGACAAATACAAGAACTTCACCACCAAGAGTTCAGGCTCAGGTCTTGGAAGATTCCGAGGTCGTTCTCGTCTTCTTCCGGAAGTGCCCGAAGCTCTTCGCTCGTTTCCAGTTGGTGCGGCTCGCGTTGCGAGAGCTGTGCACCCGGCGCCGTGCGGGCCCTGCGGGCAGCTGCTGGGCTCGGCGAAGCGCAAGCTGCGCACGGGCACCGGCGCTGGTCGGACTTCGCCCGGGGGCGGCACCGACTGCACCGGATGCCTGCTGACCGTGGCAGTCACGGGTCTGGCCAAAGCGTTGCTTTGCATCGCTAGCAAAACATAGAAGAAACATGGAGCCAAAATGGCTGAGGACTTGCCAGCGATTCCTTGGATACCAAAAAAGGCACGTCTGGTCTCAAAGACGGTCAGTCCTGAAAATGGAAAGCAAATGAAAACAAATTACTTTACTTAGACTGATCCCCACCATGACATATTTGTTTTCATGCCATGGCGAGGAGCATGTTGCCATGGTCGTGGGTTTTAGTTTTGTGATGTTTTGTGGTTTTTGATTTTGCTTGTGGGTCCTCGAATTTTGGATTCTATTATTTAGTGTTAGGGAGTTCGCGTCAGGGTGGCGCCAGGGTCTCCAGTTGGCATCCGAAAGTGCCAGCCTGTGATCACATTCCAGGCAAAATGCCACACACACACAGGCAACTGTATTGTTGTCGTTGTATGTGTTTGTGTGTGGTTACGTGTTGCAGTTGTGTGTTCTGTTTGTGTGTTTGTGGTTGTGTGCTGTGTGTTGAGGTCCGAGACTGCCCAATGCGATCTGGCACTTGCGGTTGAGGTCCGGAGGGAAGGAAGGACGGAAGGAGGGAGGGGACGGAAGGGACAGAAGGGAGGGAAGGAGGGAAGGAGAAGACTATCCTTAAATTTCTAACAACCCTCACCTGACAGGTGGGGAATCAGCATCCACACGTCAAATATGGAGGGAGTGCAATGTGGCCAGAAACTGCAGAAATTCAGTTGAATCTTCTTTTCCCTAGCCACTTGGGACCTCCCAACGTTGCCGGCACAAGGTCTCAATGAAGAGTTCTCGCTGAAGCACCTGACCTCAAAGGTTGGACCCGGAGGCTCTTTCTTATCAAGACTCAAGCTGTCAAAGGGCCATCCCCGAGCCGAATGAAAGGTGAAGACATGTAACTAGTGGAGTTTGCAATTGGAGACTTGGCGGTGCTTTCCTGTGAAGCTGGTGGGCAAGACACCAAAAAGGTAAACACCAGTGAACTGAATTCCGACACATGAAGGAAAGGACCTTCTGCGAACACTAGTAGAACAAACATGAATCATGGGGATAGGAAGGGTTGGTTTGGCTCTTCTCGAAATACCGACATCCCCAAACTGGGTACATGACGGTCCGCAGTGGCCTGGGCTTGTCCAGTGCCAGACATACATTAATGTACATCAGGTTAGCTCGTGCCATAGACATTCCGTCAAATGATTAAACATATATCACAACTCCAATTATCGAACTGCGATGAATTATGATGAATTGATGAATCAATAAGGACATCTGAGGACCCTAGACTCTAGACATACCCCGCTGAGCCTGCCTGCCTTGGCTTTGGTGCTGTTTAACTCTTGACCTTGCAGTCCAAACTCAGCACGGTATCCGTGCTTTGGGTCGCCCGCCGTGTCGAATGGTGCTCATGGTTGTGCTTGATTTTGAATTCTGCGTGATTCACTCTGGAACATGCCCAATTGAATGTCTACAGTAAAAATCAAACAAAGGGTGATGAAAACTGGTGACGCGCTTCTGTCATTTTAACGCGGCCCAGGCGCTGTTGCGACTGTACATCCCTGACACCCCCCCAGCGCCTCAACAAAATATGGGCCCCAGTATCTGCATCAGTTGGCTTAAAAGGACCCCACAAAGGTCAAGTTGAACTCAGCACCAGCATGAAACTTGCATCCAGAGCTTCTTAGCTCTTCGGGTGATGTAGAGTGTTCCTCATTCATGTGCACGGAAAGCGCATCTATACTACACTACACAGAAAATTGTGCCGTGACGCCGCAATAGGGTGACTTTGGCAAGGCTGTGCGCTGATACACCGATACGCCACTACACGGTGACTTCGAGAATGTATGTCTGCTGATACACCGATATGCCACTACAATACAATGATTGGTTGCGGCGTTGTTTCTAGAATATCACCTCTCAGCTCACCGTCGTGCCCAAACAACTCCAATCATAGTACTGTAGAAGTTCTTGCACATCTATACACTTTGCATATGAGAAACAGTTGCCACAACGGGGTAACGCTAAACAAACAATCGTTCTACACACACATATATATATATATATTGCAATAGCAATATTTTAATGGCTCCGCATGCGCGAGCATGCTCCTACAAAAGGTTTCTTTTCATTGGATCCGCAGTGTACTGGTTATCTCGAAAGTGCAAATGGATCGGTGTATCGGTGACTGACAGTATCGGTGCAGGTTGATATTTCAAACGCTGTTCGTGCTCGCACTGCCCCGTGGCAACGCTGTTCCTTGCAACTGCCTCCAATGGGGTGCGGAAAACCATGGCCTTTTCTCAGTTGTCTGACCTGTCCCTCTTGGCCAAGCACTTTGTCACAAGCTGGTCACCCCTTCTCCAATGAAGAGCAAAACAAGGCCTTCTTGGAACAAGTGACGGCAAACATTGGCAGAAACATCGAACCATTTCTTTCGTGCACGCAGGGCCACAACTGTCAAATAGAACCTCGTCTTGACAGAACACATTGTGCTCGATTGTCTGCATGAGAAAAGGCTTGGGATGGAGTCAAATAGTCACGAGAACGAGTTCTCCAGTAATGATTATGGACCTGTCCCTCCCGATGAAGGCAAACCATCTTCTCCGGCTCCAAAACTTTGTCTAGACACTCTTTTTGCATGTTCAGACCTGAGTGGAGCCACCACCAAGATCTTCGGAGATAGCAAATGATACGCTTGCAAGATTGACCAAACGTTGTTAGTATAACCTTCAGCACCACCAACAGGTCAGAATGCCGGCGGCCCGACATTCTCAATTGCCTCTAATCCCCATGTGAAAGGTTGCAATACCCTTGCACTGTGGTCGCGGTGGTCATGTTCGGAGCACCAACATCCAAACAACGCGCGTCAAGAGGATCCAAAAAGGAATAAGTATAAGGGATAAACCAACGCCTGAGGATATCGAGAGGGTTGGCACCAAGCAAGACCATGCTGAAGCAAACGAGACAAAAGAACATGTGTGGAGCTTGTTAGATCTTGTTAGGCATTCTCATTGAACACCAGAAGGGATGCTGCTTCTGGAAACGCCTCGTGGCTGTCTTGGCCAAAGCTTGCACCGCTCTCGAGCCGGTCTTTGATGGGGATGGGACATGGTGATCCACATCCATGCACAAAACGATTGACCGGAGGACCCGCAAATCCGACATGTCTCAATATTGCATGTCTCAAACCGATAACCAAATGACCGGCCTGCTCAGCGCTGCCATAGTTCCCGTAAGACTTTGCTAGAATAGGAGTGTTGTTGTTGTGACTGAATAGTTGCCCAAGAGTTCTCCTAGTGTAAAGTCCTTCAAAAAATGTTTGCCCGATTCTGGAAAGGTGTTATTTTGGTTCTATTCGAATCCATGTAGGATCCAGCTGGGGTTGTCATCATACAGCAACCTCAACAATAACAAATCTAACGATGAAGTGGCTCCTGGGGTTTGAGCATGGTCGCTGAATCTGTCAATTGAAAGAACTGGCTACTCAAACTTGAACAAGATTTGATCTTTGCTGCTGAGAATGCTGCACTCCTCCTTCAGCTGGGTCATGGATGCCTCCTGGAGGCAATTTTTCTCAACACATGAAGGCAGCAACGCTCATCCCTTCTCTGTCAAAACAAGCGAGAAAATCCATTTGATTTGGGGAACAAGAAGAAACATGGAGCAAATCGGGCTAAATATAACAACAAAAACCACACATATATCATCACGGTCATCATGTGCTACTTTTGCTTGCGCTGTGGTCACTCCTCCAAAACTAGGGCAAGCATGATGCTTTGTATGTGGGACCTTGCAAGGCCATGAACGCTGAATGCACTGGAAGCAATCGGTGGAAAACTTGCAGCCTTCCCAGTGATGACGGAAGTATCACTATCATATACTATTACTATCTATTACTATCATCATTCGGAACATGGAGTTTAATTTCACTCAATCCCTGAGTCTTCAATCCAAAGGGAGAACGTGCATTGAACTTTGAGATGTCACACGCAGCGTGGGATCCCATACACCTTCTCAGTAAAATCTGCAGGTAGACCCAAACGCCTGACCATCAGTCGCTTGTTGAGGCAGATTTGATTGTTGAGCAATGTACAGTCACCTGTTGTCACCTTCAACAAAAAAACAAACTAGTGTCTGCCAATCACGTGATCAAAGTCAACCCAAGGCATGACGAACATACTTAAATACTTAAAACATTCTTTCATATTTCATGCTCTTTCCTTTTCGTGCCTCTCACTCCCTGAAATGCACACATGACGTTTTCGGCAATGAAAGCTGCTATACAATTGAGGCTGGTCTTGCCTCATGGTTCTTCGGTACTCGCCTTCAACCTGAACATTTCCAGCCATGCTGGGTCAGGTTTGCCACACTCCTAATAACTAAATGACTTTGTGAACAATTGCGAATGAGCGCGGTATGGTTCGCATTGTCCAACTAGGTGTTTCTTGAGAGCATGCTTGACATGCCACCATCCACAAAGAATTGATCTCTGGCTCACAACTTGGCTTGACACCAGCTTGCTACACGACACCTCCAAACGCGCTGCCTGCAAACGAGAGGACGGGGGAGCTTGGCTTGCAGTGCCGATGCGAGGCTGACTGGAGTGAGAGCCCAAATGTAAAGCCGATTCTGCAAAATTGCATGTGCGGCGTCTGAACAAGCCATCCAAAAAACATGAAAAGCTTGGGCTCTACAACAGCAGGGCTAACTGCCCAAGCACCCTTCCACCCCGCCGCAGCCTTTCCAACCAAAGCTAGGCCCACTTGCAAAGCAAAGCGCCGCACCGGCACCCCTCGTGCCTAACCGAAATGGCTCAACCACCAGGCATGTCTTTGAGCAACGCACTTCTGACTCTCCGTTTCATTCCAACCATCTTTTGACGATTTTCCACGCCCAATCATGGCTTTTTGGATCGATCCGCTTTGCCTCCGCCAAAGATGTCCATAAAGCATCCACGAGTTGTGAAGCCAGGCCTGCGTTGCCCCTTGCTTTAGAACACTGCGGCCAACTTTTTATTAACATATCTGTGACCCACACTCTTTAATGTATATAGATATGTATATATACAACTGTATAAAAATATATATATATATACACTCTCTCCCTCTCTCTCTAGTAGAGGGCATCTCAACTGATTATCCACACACCATTCTTTAAAGCCTTTCAAGCCTGGTGTGCAAATTGTTAGGTCATTGTGTGCATCACCTGAATGACTACCTTGCATCACCTGATTTCCCCAAGG